CAATATATATATATATATATATATATATATATATATATAAAAGGTATGCATGTAGTATTTAAAAACTAAAAGAAATTTTAATAATTATGATATTAATATGGGACACATATGATTGACTTAACTAGACACCTACAGGATAAGGTACTGTGGTACATATTGTTCACAGGTGACATATTTTTTATTAATGAGACCCGAAATGACGTCAACACAAAGTTAGAACTTTGGAGGGTTGCTCTAGAATTCAAAGGTTTTAAAATTAGTCAAACTAAGACAAAGTATATATAGTGCAAATTTAATAATAATAGGAGTAGAGATGAGGAAGTAGTTAAAATTGAAGTAAAAAAAAGACCATACTTTTCGATACCATGAGTCGATAATCTAGGTAAATAGAGAGATTGAAGAAGATGTCATACACATAATTAGAGCTAGGTGGGCGAAGTGGAGATGTGCAATTTGAATTTTATACGATCACCGTATACTAATGAGGCTGAAGGGCAAGTTCTATAGGACACGGTGAGATCAGTTTTGCTCTATGAGGCAGAATGTTAGGTGGACAAAAAACAATATACCCATAGAGTTAGTGTCGCGGAGATGAGGATGTTGAGATGGATGAGTGACAAGACAATAAAGGATAGAATTTGAAATGAAAATCTATTCGAGAGAATTTAGGCGTGACATCAATAAATAGTAAAATGAGAGAGTAGATTTGGGTGGGCTAGCCATGTGTGGCGTCGACTAAAAACAATATCTGTTAAAATGTGTGAGTTAATTCAAGTTGAAGGACCGAAAAAGACAAATAGTAGGTCCAAAAAGATGTGTTTGAAAGTAGGTCGAAAAGATATCGAAACCTATGGCCTCACTTCAAAAAAAAACTAAAGTAACAATGATGGTGATAACCAACAAAAATGAGAGGGAGTAGATTTGGGTGGACTGGTCATGTGTGGCATTGACCAAAAATAATACCTGTTAAAAAGTACGAGTTAATTCAAGCGGCTAAATAAAAAATGACAAAAAGTTGGACTAAAACGACATATTTGAAAATAATTTAAAAAGATACCGGCACTTAATAGCCTACCAAAAAAAAAAAAAAGTGACGACATGGAGCGCACATATTCAGTCCCGTAGTTTTTTTCATTTAAGACAAAAGTTGTAAAATGTAGTACGATTTTATCTGTAGCCACGTGTGGGCCTTAGCTTTTATGCATTTATGGCTTGTATCTACTGTGATTGAAAAAGGTGTTTTTCATTTTATATTGTGGACTACCGGGTCCGGACCACATTGAAAGGCCGCGGCTGACACCCCTAATGAAAACTACCCTTGCATCTCTTAAACATGTGTTTCTGTTCCAATTTTACAAATGTGACGTCATTAAGGGACTGTTTAGATGGCCCTTTTATCCATAATCTATCGAAAATATATATGTTAGAATCTATTTTTCTTTATTTTTTTGAAAGGTTGCAGGCCCTGACGATTGAGGGGAACAGAAAGGACCTTCGGAGGGGAGGACCAAATTCTTTCTTCTCATACTCTTGAATAAGCGGGGAGTATGGGGTTTATAATTAACAAGTGCGCTTAGTTCAAGGCTTTAGATTAAAAAGTAATGCCTCAACGCAAAATATGTTTAGACCTTGAAATCTTTTCTTCTTAAGAAAAAGTTTATATAAGGTTGTAACCTTAGAATGTAGAACCACAGATGCACCTCAAAAATCCACTTGAAAAAGTTATTTTAATGTTGAAAAATCCTATGATTGATAATCTCGACAACGAGATTTATGACTATGAAAAATAAAAAGCTTTTGAATCTCAGAAATACTGCATCTTACAACATATTATCTACCCCATCAATTTTCAAGATTTTCATATATTTATAGATCTACTTGATTTTAACCATTTTTTGAATTTAAAATTTTATAATTAGATATAAAAATAGATTTTGAGATAATCCTAAAAATATTTTACATCAAACTTATATATTATGATAAAATTTGAAGGTGCACCTTAGTTGGATTGTTTAAAATTGCAGTGTTATGGAAACCATACCCTTTTTCTTATGGGAAAAAGTTTATAGAAGGTTGCTAACCTTAAAATGTAGAATTGCATATGCACCTAAAAAATCCATCCGAAAGGGTTGCTTTAATGTTGAAAAGCCTTG